CAGTAGGCATATATCTGGTGACAGATGTTCTGCCGCGCTGCCCGGCGCCTGGAATAGTCGCCATGCCGCACGCGTGAGTTTACAATGCCGGGCATACTACTGCTCGGCTCAAGCTACATAGGGATGACTGCGTCTTTTATCTGTGTGTGTGCCAGTAACCTGCCCGGGTCAGCTAAACTAGTACTCTCCAAGCAGAGGTTTTGGCTTTGGGTTATTTTTGGCGTGTTTGTAGGATTTTTTATCTGGGTTTCTTTTTTGTCACCGAACCCCCAAAAAATTCCAGTGCAAAAAGAAATCCCCATAAAAAGCCTAAAAGCACGCCAAAAATTAGCAAACACCCAAACCCCTGCTTGGAGAGTACTAAAGTAGGATGTAGCTTGCACAAAATATATACCAGTGATGTGACTTTACATCTTATTTCTATTGACCATTTGCATCACCAAGCCTTCCTATATATAGAATTTCACTGATGCGGGTTTCTTTTAACTTGTTTTGATATCAAGTATTCTACCTTTTATTTGACATCCCGGCAAGTACAGAGTTTACAATGCCGGGCATACTCCCGCTCAGCTCAGGATACATGTACAGTTAGGGGAATGACTGCGTCCTTTATGCGTGTGACTGTATCCCGTTCGGGTCAGCTAAATTAGGATATAGGTTGCATACAATATAGGTGAAGTGACTTTATATATAACTTACTGCTATTACCATTTGTTATCGCAAAGCCTTAATAATAATGATCGCACTGATTTATATTTTAGATTAAAGATAGAATACTCGATATCACAAGCTTTTAAGTTAGTCTAACTTGTGATATCGAGTTTTCTACCTTTTATTTAACATCCCGACAAATACTGTTCTAATGTTTACTTGATATATCGGCATTTACTATTTCAAACTTTTCTGTTTGTAAATTTGTATGAATGTTAACGTGCTGTCCTGGCGCAATTCAACCGTCTTGGCCGCAATGTTTGAGGCAATGCTACATGCCTTTCAAATAAAACCATTCATCTATATTCAGCTAGAGTAATTCAAACATAAGGAGGGCCGTTGTTTATAATTATTTGTGGAACTTCACGATGTTAGCCCCCCGCTGTTAATCGTATATTAAGAGCAACTGTCAGTTGTCGCCTGTGTTATGTTGGGGAATTCGGGATTGGAAATGATATATGGCCATATATATGCATAATAGGCATTTATAAGTCCAGTAAATAACGGCTAATTGTAGGGGGGGCAGTAGCGTAAGATGTTGGAAATTTACGTTTTTAGTCGCGATCCTTCTTACTCTCTCACTTTTAATCGGTATTAAGATTAACTGTCAGTTGTGGGGTGGGGAATTCTTGATCGGAAATAATATATTATGTATGATAAGCACTTGTCTAGTGAATTACAGCCAACTTAATAGGACTGTAGCGTAATCTGTGGGCAGTTCACGTTTCCAATCTTCATTCCTGTCACTATATCACTTTGAGTGTAAGAAGTGCTTAGAGATGTATTTTAGTTTTCTCTAGTTATCTTTCCTTATTTTTATTATACCATTTGTCATTATCAATCATATTACATCTCTAAATAGCTTGTAGAGTAGAGTCTAGAATCTTTATTACTACTCAACATGGACAGCTTTGGCATCAACATAATTTGACATTATAACATGTACACATCAAGTGTAATTAATGTATACATTTTATAACAAAGTGGCAATATTCCGTGTCGAGTCTATGGTAGATGCCAATGTGCTAATGTAAGTATATTATCAATTTACACATTTTTATTACTATCAACATGGATAGCTTTGGCATCAGCATAATTTGGCATGATTATAACGTGTAATTAATGTATACATGTTATAACGAAGTGCCGATGTTACGCTCTAGTTTCCAGTCGTTACTAATTGCTCCCCTGACAACTCATCAACGACCAGACCATTTTGGGACATATTTGTTCCGCTAAACGCATGACGCACTCTGAGTAATTGAGATATACGCTTGCAACACCACTACAGCATATGACAAACCTGCAAAAAAAGATGGACCAATCATGGATATATAGTACATACATCGTCTTCCAACGCCTCAAAAGAAGAAATCAAAACCAGCAAAACTAGTACCATGTATGTTGTAGGAAATGCAGTACACATACGTGTATAATGTTAGACGTAGTCTCTCATGCGTACCATTGTATTTTCTTTCTTCATACATGTACATGTCGTTTCAATGTTTGTACCTGCAATTAGCCCTAGGGCAATAAACTTCATATATACATGTAGATATATAGGAAGAAATTATGCAACAAACCTGTGGATAATGAAGGCTGAACGGTTCCTATAGCGTCGAATGACGGGATCTGCTCAAAATCCCGGACGCTGGTAGCTCGTAACTTGAATAATATCCGGTTGTGCACGTACAACTGCAGGCCTGCATGTATTTAACACTCCATGGCGATGACTATGACTGACTCAGTGTAGCACACGCACAGGGATTTTCCGTCGCCCTCCACCAATGCGCTAAGCAGCCCGGTTTGCTAGCCTGGGTACCAAACCTTTAGTCGGCTTGGAGTTGATTTTCCTGCCTCAGCCTTTACTATTAAAGCCACAGGCGAGCTACACCACGGCCACGGACCTATATCCAGTTGGTTTCCCTGTATCCGCTGACGTCTTGTATTGCTGATTCTTCTACGGTATTGTTAGCCTGGGTACCAAACCTTTGGTCGGCTTGGAGTTGGTTTTCCTACCCCAGCCTTTATACTAAAGCACAGGCGAGCTATTCCACTGACCTACTAGTATATCCAGCTGGTTTCCCTGTATCCGCTGACTTGTATTGCCGATTCTTCTACTGTATTGTTAGCCTGGGTACCAACCTTTGGTCGGCTTGGCGTTGGTTTTCCTTATTAAACTTAAAGCACAGGCGAGCTATACCACGGACCTAGTAGTATATCCAGCTGGTTTCCCTGTATCCGCTGACTTCCAGTATTACGCCAAGTCTTCTATTGCGCACAGAGTTGTGAGCGAAGAAGTCTGCAAAAAGCTAGTCCGGGTGCGCGGTAGGTGGGGCCTGGTTTGGCGGCCCGAAACGCTACCAGCCCCGAAGAGATACCACTGAGCTCACGGTGGTCTGGTTACCAGGCTACCCGCGTATATATCCTGGCACGCTGCTGAAGACTTCTTGCTTGCGATGTGTAGTGACCATAAAAATCACTGCTGTTGTACACGACAACTGGAAATCACACCACCAGAGGCACGTAGATGTCGCATGTACACAAGGGTCCCTCCTCGGTCCATGTATAGGTAAAACGAAAGTTGTTCCGGGACGAAGGTTCCGTTCGGAAAAGGAAATTCTGATCCTCGCGAGCGGACGTGAGTTTCTACGACCGGTCGACTAGCAAGGGACCAGCCATTATACATCCCCGAGTGGGTGTCCGAAGATAGGGACCGTCCAAAGACAAATATTGGTCCCACAGTGATCATTAATAATGGCAATAATTATTGGCCATCATTCACAAATACAATTTCCAGGAAGTGAAGTTGAAAATGTCTATGCTTGACCCAGTGACCCAGAATAGATTCGGACGCATTTGCTACCACAGGGTTTCAGCATAGAAGAGAGTATGATAATTGAGAATCATGTTCATTACTATCACTGTATAATTCCTTTTTCGACTGTTGGATATTCAATCGGGTTGTACGGTTGGATGTCAAAACTAAGGGATTACAACTTGTGTTCTGGCTCGCTGTTTCATATGATACTTGTACTTAGCCCCTGTATAATGTCCTGTGCCCAGATACCTGCCAAACCCCAGGACTATTGGGGAGTCGGCGAAAGGCGAGGTTTAGTTACTAATAGGCTATAATTATATATCTTATTACACCAACAGTAAATACATCACGATATATTCCGACAAAGTAGCGGACGGCTAGTCTCCAAGCAGATGCTAGGGTGGCAAAAGACAATATCCATTGGTCAGAGAGGGTCCAATACGCCACCCAGTGCCTTTCTGGGTCTTTCTGGTCAATGGATACTGCCTGGCCAATTTGATACTGTCTTATGCCACCCTAGGATCCGCTTGGAGATTAGTGGACGGTCCCCGAATGTCCCGGTCTGGTTTCTGATGAATAAGGTTGTGCTGATGCCCGCAGCTGTCGCGGCACGTGTCGGACGGACGGAGAATGGCGCCTTTTGTCTACAGTAACGCCACATCAACGACAAATGCCGACCGCATAACAGATCGAACAAATAAAAACAAAGTTACAACAAAAACAAGTTCCAAGCCAGCGCTCCATTTTTGAGAATGGTGACCAATAAAGCCTAAGGATAGACGTTTCCCTCTTAGCGTTATAATTTGTCCTATTGAAACTAGCATCATTGGACACGATAGATGAAGAAGAGTAATATAATCATGCAATGATACCTCCATGGTATAATTAAGGCTTTGGCTTATTTTTGGCGGTAGTATTCGGCTATATTTTAGGCATTTTTATTACTTGTTTTTTTAAACTGGTATCTTTTTTTGCGCCGGCGCCTAGCCAAATGGTGGCAAATGGTAATTGACTGACAAATGGATACTGCCTGGCCAATTTGATACTGTCTTTGTAACCACCGAAAAATTTGCTTGGAGATTACGATTTTACTTTTGTGCCCGACGACTTTGCCTCTAGCTCATTTGTCCAATATATTAAAATCAACAACATTGGCCACGATGATAAACAAAGAAGAGCAAGAATTACGCCAGTGTGCCTGCAGGGTATGGAGATATCAAAATACTAGTACGCAGCTGCCCTGTATAAACAGGAATGTTACACTTCTATAGGATGACACCCGAGCACGTCAGTTGTCGCGATTGGTCAAATTGATGTACAGACGCAGAGATATGAATGGTTTACGGCTATTGGTCCCAGGAAAAGTCGTTTTTTATTTCAGATAAACAGTGATAAATACAAATGAAAGGACACAGACTATGTCGTGTTTAGATAGTAGATTGACTGGTTTAGTAGACTGGTTTATCTATTTATTTATTTATTAAATATATGTCATATGTCATTTTGCACGCTGTTGATCGCTTTCAACTGAGATGTCCTGTCATATTCTTTGACATAATACTGCGATCATTTGTTAATTAAGTTGGTAAGGAGGAGGGTCGTGTAAAAGCCCTGAAGGCACAGTAGTTTTCGTTTATGTTATTTTGCATTTATCATATTTGTTTTTAACATGTGTAAATAAATAAATAAACAAACAAACGGAGTTTACACACTGCTTTCGTGCATGATAAAATCGTCGTTAGTACACGTATCATGAGTCCTTTCATCAGTATCTTTTTCGAAGTCACAACTTTCAGTATTTTCGGTGATGCCATGTGTCCGCGGTAGTACGTTTGTGAGTTGAGAAATAGTTCTTGTCCGATGTACTTCTAGTGACGTCAACATCAGGACACAGACCATGACGACACTTCCGGCAACATAGAAGGAGGCGGTGTAATTTCCAGTGACGTCATATAAACGACCTAGAGAGCAAAATAAAAGTTCCGATAAATGCATAGACGAAATCGAATGGCAGAATTGGTTTTGGTAGCCTTTGTATGTACATGTGTGAGTGTGAGTGTGCATGTGTGTGCTTGTGTGTGTGTGTATGTATGCATGTGTGTGTGTGTGTGTGTGTGTGTGTGTGTGTGTGTGTGTGTGTGTGTGTGTGTGTGTGTGTGTGTGTGTGTGTGTGTGTGTGTGTGTGTGTGTGTGTGTGTGTGTATGTGTGTGTGTGTGTTTGTGTGTGCGTGCGTGTGCTTGTGTCGGCTCCCTAGCAACTCCTTATGATACTGCAGCAGAACTTCTGATTTTCATATTTAGTTACCTAAACATGTCATGGTCACGCAGTTTGGATGGCTTCTTGTTAAAAACTGGGCAAATCGAAAAACGTCCAACAGACTTTCAAGGTACAAGATAAAGCCCGTTTTTACCTGCAATAGGCGGTCCGAACAGCATGGCGAATCCCTGTATCCCGTAGGCTATCCCCACGGCGCTAGCCAGCCTGCCCACCCCGCAAAACTCCGCCAGAAACACCGCCGTCTGGCTAGCACAGGACCCGGCAAACAGGCCGACAGCCAGGCAACACGCCACCATGGTAGAGTACGTCCGCGCTTGTGGTAAGAAGAACACAGATAGGGCCAGCCCGAGGGCGCACACGGTGTACCCTCGGAGCCGAGGGAACAGACCCAAGTCCGAGAGCCAGCCGTACGCAATTCTAGACACCCCGTCGCCAATACCGATCACCGAGATGAGAAAAGCGGCCTCCTGCGCTCCAGTTCCGACGTTTCTGGCGTGCGCGACGAGGTGAACGAAGGGGATGAAGTTGCCGAATATCAGCAACATGTTGGAGAGGATAAAAACTACAAAATATGGCTTGCGAAAAAGCGAGAGGTCCAGAAGTCTACATAACGAAAAACATCGCCTTCTTGAGGGCGCCTTCTCGTCATTTGATGTGACTGTCTTCCTGTTTTCAAAGTCTTCTATCAGATATATTGGTCTTAGCAAGGCACCAAAGATGCAGCCTTGCAAAGCGACCCCTGCTACGACAAACAGGGAACCCCGCCAGCCGTAGTGGTCTATGAGTAACTGAAATACTGGAGGGAAGGCGAACGTTCCCACTCCGGCGCCGGACAGACCAAGTCCGTTTGCGAGTGCTCTTCTTTTCTTGAAGTATCGCCCCACCATGGTGATACAGGGGGTATACATGAAGGAGAACCCCAGACCTGAAACATAAAACATGTTGTTCAATATCAATAGTACTATTTCATCAATTACTGTTATAACTAGAAAGGTAACATATGCAAAGCAAATACATACTGTTTACCTTCGCGTATAGTCGGATCTGTTAATTCTTACTCAAACACATTCATATATATTGTCAGACAGGAGTCTAAATCCCAACTGCTATTAAATTGAAACATGATGTAAATCAACACCAGCTACCATGGTGACAGACGTCTGGTTCAGGTCATTGACCTTATTTGTTTGGAGAAGAAGAAGAGGAAGAAGAAGAAAAAGAGCAAAAACAATATGTTTTCCTTCTGTTAAGTTAAACATAAATATTGTACCTGTGATGAACCCAGCCGTCAGGTACATGACAGGTAAACTGGTGACGAACATGCTGGAGAGGAGACCTACAGCTGCCACCAGACCTCCCGCCATCACCACCGCCCTACAGCCGAACACGTTACTCAGGGCGCCCGCAACAACCGCTGGAAAAAATAAGAGAATTTAAAAAAAGAATATTCCAACATGTAATCACAAGACGTGGTGGGAACACACTCAATTTTTTTTTTCAAAATATTAATGCCGCCACCAACACAGGGGACAATACAATACTCATTTTCACCTGAGCGAAGTCCGTGAAATCGTCTAAAGTGCCTTTCCCAAGGGCACACGACCAGTGGCATTTCGGGACTCGAACCCTTGGTTCCGAGTACAAAGCAAAACTAACTATTTATAGATAAATTCGAGGTCTCCTCGCTTTTCACTTAAAAATTTCAGTGATAGTTGAGATAAAAGGAAATATATATTTTTCGTAAAAGCAAAGTGCATTGATAAAGATACATAATATGAAATTTCTACAATCTTACATCCGAACATCGTGAGCGCCGCTTGAATGGAACTGATCCATGCTGTACTTTCAGCGTCTTCTTCAAAAGCCTGCAGCATGTAAGGGAAGAACACTCCGAAGGACTTGAGTGTGCCTGGGACGACAATGTGGGACAGGAAGCTACTAAGAACAACAAGCCAGCCCCAACCGCCGTCCGGGGCCTCTTGTAGGTGCTTGGAAGTCCCCGAAGTAGACATTAGAGTCAAACCCTGGGCTGTAGTATCTGCAAAACTAGAATAAAGGTAACATTTGTAAAGTAAGTGCATAATGTTTACCTTCACATATGGTCTGATGTGTTAATTCTTAACACATTCATACAATGTATATGACGAAACCGGTGTATTCCAGCGATTTTAGAGGCATTTAAATTTTGGTTCGTTTAAGGCCATAATGGCTGACCATATCTAATGATATCTAATGCCTCACCTAGCTTTCACTAGTAAATCATAATGATGATGTTTATTGCAAATTCATGCCCGAGGGCTAATTGCAAGAACATGATAACAACAGTAAACAGTAGAATGATAATAAGTGATGCTAATGCTACTTTATATATACATTTGTAGTTATTGTTGGGTTTGATTTCTTTTCCGTGTGCAGTGGAGTATGAAATGGCCGACGTTTTGCGAGATATATGAATTGGGAGGTGTTAATAGAAATGCAGTTTTTTGTAGGCTGGGAAGGTGAATAAAGCTGGGGAACATTTTGGTGGCCATTTCAAATAACTGATCTCTTTCGGTGCTATAATGAGAGCAATGACAAATAAAGTGCATTTCATCCTCCACTGCGTTTCCTGTACAATATTTACATATTCTGTCGTTAACAGGTAATTGTTTGTATCTACCCTTTTCTATTTCTAATGTATGAGCGCTGACTCTAAGCTTACATATGGCTGATCTAAAAGCGAAGAGGCTTCGAGTCTTGCTGTTAACCAAAGGGGGTCAAAGTCCAACTACTGCTAAGGGGAGGGTATCCAGTTACCAAGTACGGATCAGTCTTCTATCAGGCTTTTATGATATATAATTATAAATTACTAGTAAAACCTAAGATATGGTCAGCCATAATGACCCAGCCGTCTCCCGAAGCCTGGTAGAGGCTACGTGTCAGTAATGCTGGGGTCACATGCAATTCCCATACGGGGCCCGGCCGGGCAGCTTTTGGGAACGAAAACTACTATACAGAAGACAAAAAAAACATCGAAAAGTTCTTTATAACAATCATGGGCTCTATTTCTCTATATTCTTGATAAGAATAGTTAATTTTTCGTTCGTACAAACAGCCCGGCCGGGCCCCAGTTTGGAAATGTGACCTAAGCATAACACCAGTGGTGGTGTGGACGTGAACTCTCTATAAATAGTTCCAGTTGACTGTCAACCTTTTCTAACGGTCGCAGAGTTCAAATCGTGTGCGTGAGTGCACTTGAACTCTGTAATCGAACACTGTAACTTAACACGTAGTCGAGAAGTTCAACCGTCGGTCTAGGAGTGTACATGTAATTTCTTTGATTAAACTTACAATTACAAATTATAGGTATTAAATACACAGTGTTAAATAGTAGTCCTTAGCAACGAATGCAGTGGAATTGAACAGTAACATCGAACCAGTAGTTGGTACATTTTCATGGGGTAATTCGATGGCATTCCTCATAAGAATTGCTCGAAAGAAAAAAGGCGGAAACCGTAACGTTAGTCGTACTCACCCTCTATATATCCCCACCCTATTGCATCTAGACCGGCTCGTAGACGGCTTATATGATATAGTACGTGGCGTCTTTCTGTGTATTACTTTGCAGCGGCCGCCATTTTGTCTGGCAACTTTGCTCAAAAGGTTCACTTAAAGGTCAACGTACTATGTCAATGACCTTCCGGCGTCTCAGTTTTAAGGGAACACAATGAAGGAACCTTAATCTTACTCTCCAAGCAGAGGTTCGGGGTTATTTTTATCGGGGTTTCTTTTTTGCACTGGGTTGGGTGAAAAAACGCCTAAAAGCACGCTCAAAATAACCCCAAACCCAAACCTCTGCTTGGAGAAAACCTTAATCTTGATTTTACCCAGTACGGTGCTAGCCACTGGGCGGCAAACTGTGTCTCTCTATTTGGCCAATTTTCTAGCCGCCTCCCGAACCTGGTCGAGGCTAGTGACTGGCCGGCTGACTGGATAACCATCCTGCTAGAAAATTGGGGTTAGACGGGGCCAAGTGTAGCGGTAATCGCATTATGTACGCGGATGGACAATTTAATTATTGATTAGAAAGGCAACATTTGCAAAGATTATGTTTACCTTCACATGGCCCACCTTAACAAACTAGTGCTTTGTTCGTTATTCATTCTAACTCAAACACACACACACACACACACACACATATATATATTTATATTTGTAATTAAAATATTGACTAGGAAATTGACTACAAAAAAAATTTACTGTCCCGATGCTATTAATGCTGTTCGGTTTATACTACAAAGCTATACATCGTTCTAGATACGGGATGGGCCATTAATACCACAGGAGCGGGTACCTGTTCAGCAAGTGAAGGTACAGGTTAGGGGCCGATCATTAATACTTCTGTAATGGTGTCCCTTGTGTGGCGGCAAAGAGTTATACATGTACGAAAAGTGGATGGATAATTAACGTAAGAGCAGCACTGGTCCATGTGTAGCGACAAATTGGCAAATGGCTAAGCTTTGGGGACAGACCATTTTATCCAATGCACTTCCAGCGCCCAGAACTGAAAATATTCTGAATAGGAAAATCTGTATCTGTTGGGTAGACGAATATCAAATTCAAGATTGCTGCTCAATAAGGCGTGTCCCTATGTAAGCAATTAAAACACAAGGATTGATGCTGGCACACTTGCAAATCTACCCCGGTTAGGCACTTTCGAACTGTACAGAAACCAGATTACAATGATTCAACCTGGTATACATGTATTTGAAAACCTACGCAAACTACACACGTTACAAGTAGTCAAAGTACATGTATACAAGTTAAGAGTTACAAAGAAGAATATTCTGTTCAGTATATGAACAGAACATAGCCTTAGGCGAATTTTCATAGCTGGCTCTAACATTTATCTCAAATGATATCATTTGACCAGTCTTACATACTAGGTTCTTAAACTATAAACATCTATGTTACAACAGAAAATCATACAATTACAAGCCTTCCAAAATAAGACTGACTGATTGGAGATGGTTTTAAGAAATTCCATGTACAATTTTTCAAGCTACATTGTAAGATGAAGACCTGAAGCTTAAACTTCTAGAAATCTTTCATTCTTTGTTCAAAGTATTCTTTGACATTAAAATGACTTATATGAATTATTAAATTCATGTATACAAAATGTATGTAAAAGCTCATGACAAAATAAAAATCATCCTCATGGTAGCATTAAAATGTTCCACACTTGTATAATGTGGTATTCTCAGACTTGTATGTACATCAAGTTACATACAGTAACTATCCTATCTATAGTGGTCAGGAAAATATAGTTTCTTTTTTACTTGTTAATTAAAGCTTCAAGTAACATTGACCATATTTAACTTCCAAAAACTTTATACAAATATATCCTTATTTTCATTTTACAGAATCATTGATTTTCTCTTTTATAAAAGAGTGTTGATAAAACACCAGCTGAAATAACAGAAGCCTCTAGATGCAGTACATGATGCAGGGCAGAAGAGACAGCGCCTTAATTCTCACTCCTCACACACTTAAGACACTTAAGTAGCTGCTAGTGGAGCTTGAGAAGTCTTGCCTTTCTTCTTCTGTGTCTTTTCTGCACAGAGAGAGGACAATATATTCACTGACAGAGTCTGTTGATAACAAATCTAATACAAATTCAATTACTGGTTTACTGTGCACTGGAGCTAGTTACTAGCCTCCGTAGCAGGCTTATAGAACTGGGGTTTTGGTGGTCTTCAGCTGTTTTCTGATTAGCCCAGTTCTAACGGGGATAATTCAACCAGGCCGGCTATGTTGTCTATACACAATCAGAAAATAGCACATAAAAGATCCCAAAGACCCTGAAGACCCCCCAAACCCCCAGTTTTTGGCATGCTATGGAGGCTAGGAGTTACATGGTTCACTGTACACTTGGAAGCTAGACCATGTAGCAACTAGTGAATGGTAAACCAGTTTTTGTAGCCCTGATGAAGGTGACAGATGGTCACAGAAATGTTGGTTCATGTAAAATGAATGGTTATGAATAAAAGAACTTTAATATTCAATCATTCAACAACCTGATGAAATTATTTACAGACACTCACCAGACTTCTTTTCCTCCACCTTGTCACTAGGTGGGCTTGGTAAGGAACTGACCAGCTTTTCTTCTTCTTGAAGTTTCTCTGTAGGAAGCAAAATAAAGAATTTTTCAGTTCAGTTCATCCTCTAAGGTTACACTGTGTAGTGTCTCCACATGAACATAAAAATACATATATTAACAGCTTTTATCTAAAAATAGCTACAAATGTGACATACTTTAGACTGGCAGGGCATAATTTGAAGTGGTAAAAAAGCGATGAATGGCATGGTTTTAGTAGTCTTATTTTGGTAATGATCAAACATAACTATAAGCAATTTAAAAGAACAATGAATGTTCCAAGATACATACATATACACGTCCACTCACTCAAACATTTACACACACACACACACACACGCACATACATACACATACACACACACACACGCACACACACATGTATACACATACAAAAATTGTATAAATCATGTACATATACATACACACACACACACATACAAAAATTTTATAAATCATGTACATATACATACACACACACACACACAAACACACACACACACATACACATACAAAAATTGTATAAATCATGTACATATACATGCAAACATACACACACATTAAGTGATTACTATTTTAACAGAACATACAATGTACCTTTGGCAGCTTTATCAGTAGTTGATTTGGCAGGTACAGCTGGCTTGGTTCTCCCACTAGCTGCAGCAGTGGTGGCCTTCCCACTGTCAAAACTGGTGCTCCTGGTCATCATCAATGACTCACTACTTGTACCTCCAGCAGAAGGTGTACTGGTGGACCTCTGAACTGAACTTTTGTCAGAACCTTAAAGAAGAAGAAAAAAAACAAAACTGGTTAATGATTCGATGGCATCTGAGTGTTATTAATTGTGTGTGTGTGTGTGTGTGTGTGTGTGTGTGTGTGTGTCGTCGTGTGTGTGTGTGTGTGTGTGTGTGTGTCTGTCAACACGATAACTTGAAAAGGCCTTGATGGATTGTCTTGATACTTGGTAGGTGGGTAGGTCTTGATGAGACCTCAAAATGATTAGATTTTGGACCCCCTAGCGGCTTGTTATGGTACTGCAGCTGAACTTCCGGTTTTGATATCTCATGATCTAGACATGCTATGGTGATGAAATTTGGACGGTAGGTAGATCTTGTGCTGGGGAAGAAGTGATGTGAGTTTAGGCCCCCTAGCGGCTTGCTCTGGAACTGCAGCGATATATTCTTGAAAATATTCAAAAGGGGATAACTCAAGAACCGGTTGACGGATCATCGTGATTTTTGGTATGTAGGTAGCTTACGTGATCCTTCATATAATTATGTGACAATTATGCAAATATGGATATAATTTGCATAATTTATGGGGAAATTCTATAAATCAGCTGCATTCCATGATAGGACAATTAAAGCTTGTGACATTGGTAATTGACAACGAGAGAAACACAGGAAGATATTGATTATGTTAATAATGACTTAATTTGCATAATTAATGAGAAAATTTTATAATTATGTAATGATAACTGCCTGGAATTTCATACTTGTGGTATTTGAAAGTTAAATTGAGGTGAACATCATTAAACATAATTTATTCAAATCAGGACCTCATTTGCATAATTTATTAGGAAATGCTAGAATGCATTGTTTGTTAATATAAGACTGTTTTTTTGGTTGAGATTATGATAAAATGATATAATTCATGAAAATTAGGTTCCTATTTCTTAAATCAGGGGGGAATAATCTAATCTATAATTTGTCAGTCATAAAGATTAACATCATTTGGCGAAGGTATGAGATCGGGGAACTCTAGTATTTTCATAAAAACAATTACAGTGTTACGATAAACCACTTACGTTTTTGAGGGGTCAATCTCTTTTTGATGCCTGAAACACAGGATTCCCCAAACAGAGTAATTTTTAGTCACTTGTGACGCAGTTACATACAAAACAAGTGCTTTTGAAAAAGCTGCCATTTCGGCCCAGTTTGCCGTTTAAACGCAGCGCTGCTATTTTTTTGCGTGAGAAATACCTCTGAATATATCCCGGATATGTCCGGGACCCAAAGCTTAAACAAATAACGTAACTGTGATCTGGAAGGTCAACACTACAATGAAAAGAATAGGAGCATGGAAGCGTGCAAAGTGACATCAACAGTGCCATCTAGCTACATTTAGCAGAATAGCATGTCTCAAAGAAAGCATGATCCGTCCACTGTCGTGACTGTTGCACAGTTGCAACCATGCAAGGTTTGTAATCATCTGATTAAAAACACCATATCTTTTCAGATAGGCTTTTCTAATCAAACATTCCATTTTCCAAGTCATAGACATGTGTTTGTTCTTACGTCGGTGAAGGTTAGACATCCAGGTAAAAAAGCAGTTACTCAAGCAACTGGATATGATTTTGGAAACGTCAGACGTTTCAGCTAGTATCCACTAGCTTTCGTCAGTGACTGAGAGACCAGAGGGGAAATGCAGGTTTATAAGCACAACCTATTGATGGTATGCAAATAAAGTGAAGACAAATTTTTGGAAGTCAAAAATGGAACAAAAGTCAGATGTGTTTGTTCTCATTATCATTGAACCAACTGGAGAGTCTTCTCAAGACCAATAAAAACTTTGACTTCAAAATAGTAGGACTAAGAAGTACAACAGTTGCTGTAGTGACAGTGTAGCATTAGAATACCTGAAGCTGTCTCACGGAAGCTGCGAAAACTAAACCGCGACAACAAACTCTTCTTCTTTGCTGTATCTGTAACAAATATATTTAATATCATTAGCAAGAAGAAAGAAAAAAGGAATTTAAACTTGAACACGTTGAAACAACTTGACGGCTAACGATCCCCCTATCTTCTAACACATTAAAGTCATTAAAGTCACTTAAGTCATTAAAGTTGTACATTTTAAGAATACTGTAACTCACCACTCTGGCTTGCCTCCACTGTTGAGGGACTTTCCAAGTTCAACCTCTCTACCTCTTCTGACACTGCCTGTACATCAGTGTCAGTAGTGACAGGGGCTTGAACTCCATCTACGGGAGAAGCCTGTTCTTGCAGACCATCAGATACTACTTCTTCCTCATTATTAGAAGGCACTGGGGGCTTCTCAGCTGTGTTACCTTCAACTCCTAAAACAGAGATAAAAAAATAAATTGTTTAGTGAATACAAACCTAGGAAACAGTACAAATTGAACCCAAGAAAGCACAACTTGAAGTGAAATGCCATAAGAAACAAACTAAAGCATATTGCAAAAGCCAAAAAAAGCCCCTTCGTACATGAAGCCCATGTAAGAAGACTAAAAATCAGATGAGATTTGCCAACAAATGAAGGTGTAACAGCAAGTATTATATTAGGTGGCACTAAATACCCAATGGGCCCTGGACCTTCAGCCTAAACGGTTAGTGCGCTGGTTGTGAGCTAACACGCCAGACGAGCGGTGCAGGTTCGATACCTGTGGTCAGAGTCAACCTTCGAGTTACTCCTTTCTCTTGTATTACAATGGAAAGAAAGCTAGGCTGAGGCAAAAACCTGATCTGATTATACCTGTAGCAGAGTCAACTTCTCTTGAATCTGGGGGTGTGTCAAGTTCTTGTAGGGCGGCAGCACCTACATGTACAATAAAAGTAAAAACAACCAGTTTGAATTTTCCTGAAGGCACAATAAACAAATTAGATTATGTTATGCAGTCATATCCCTTAAATTTAAACCCTCTCTCAATTCATATGATATTAAAAATGAGGACACAAGTTGGTTTCTGTGAATTAGCATATACATTTTGAAATGAGAAATTAACACCTTATCTTTTGAACAGTAAAAGTGATTTAAGTAATCTTCAAAGCTTTTTTGAGGCAAACAATGACAAAACAAGAGAGTTATTACTGTAGCTGCTGAACAGCAGAAGACAAGTCAACTGACAGTGAGTAATATAAAAAGGCCTTCAACATTATAATTCAATGCCATGCAAAACATTCTACAAGCTAAGTAAACACACCTACATGACTAGTAGTCCTAAATAATCACATTCAAGATTTTTTCTTTAAATTCTATGCTATTTGGACTATATTTGCCACGGCATGAATATCCATACTGAAGATGATAATTAAATGTTTCAGCAATTGTTCAATTGGATGCTGCTTCTAAATAATTCAGCACCACAAAAATCTTACTAGTTTTTCAATACATGTAATTTATAAGACCATACAAACTTGATTTCTGGATGATATCTGCATTAGCATGGATTTTCTTGGGTTAACACCTTCCCTTAGGAACTAATTGCTCCTATTGTTTCCATTTGTAACAACTTTTAAACGTATTTTTGTTATTCTATCACAGGTCAATGTCCATCTACATGTAATTGGCCAAATGATGACCAGTAAGTACCTTATATGTTGAATTAGGTACTCTGGACCTCAAAATAAGGCTTATTTGTAAACTTAAGAAATCCCAGGTTTTTGACACCTCAGTGCTGTGCACCTTCACATTTTGTAAGCTTTGATTCAATGTCTTCAGACGTCTTCCATGAAATCAAATCTGTGTGGCAATAATGACCACACTAAGCATTCACTCAGTGTCAATTTTTCTTACAGTCTTGTTCAAACTGCTGCAAGCCAGCAGGTCCGTCGCTGCTCCGATCATTGCTCGTGTCAGCGCCAGGACCCATTTGGCTGTTGGCTGACAGTTCTTCCATATCCAGGGTGCCCTCTTCCCCTTCTTCCTCTTCCAGATTCAGAAAGTCTTCCCCCACACCTGATTGCGAAGCTTGTATGGCGTTTCTGTCCCCGACTTGAACCATGTTGCTGTTCGTGATATAGATGTTCCGGATGGTGTAGTGGTTCACTATGACGTTCTGCGTCCCTAAGTATCAAGTTTCGGGGTTTGAGAAATTGTTTTTCAGGCATGGTTGTAGTCTGGAGAACCTTGGAAGAGACTTTACTATCTGCAGTGGTTGTCTGTTGACTTCTCTTGCAAAGTTGTAGTCTCAAACAATGTGTGGTTCTCCATGCAAGAAAGCCATACACTTTACTGAAGTAGCCACAGAAACCTGTACTTAATGCTGCTGGCATCTACCAACATGCCATATGTAATACTATATGTAACAAAGGCATCTACCCAAAAGTTCTTCCCTGTCAATTTCAGACTACATGTACATGTAAGGCTGGTGATGTCTGCAGAATTTAAACATATAGCATTTAAACTGTCACCATGCATTTTGCCCCCTTATCAAAAAGATGAAAATGCACAGAAAAACATACTACTAAGTATAAAAAGTCTGACAGGTAGTATTTAAACTAACCAAGAAGCTGACTGCCTTCTGCACCTGGTCCAGCTGATGACTTCTCTTCCCTGGTGTCTGGAGGTGTGGCTGCATTGTTACCAACTGTCACATCAACAAGGCAAATAGTTTATATCATAATATATGACATTGTACAGGTATATCTAATTTACTTAACTTCAGAAATTTGCTACTGTATCAGAATTTTTGCACTTAACTTTTCTGAGAATCAGTGATTTGTAAATATCCAATTGTGCTTGATTCTCATCTCTTTAGGTGTCAAAACACCACCAAAACCAAAACATTCGTGAAAACTACTTGATGTAAAGTAAACTAAGAACATTATATACTAGGACCTCTATACAATGTCCTTGATTGAACTTATCCTACTCACAGACTATGACATTTGTAATAGTAACAGTAACATCTATAAAGGTTTAGGACATTAGTAAATTAAACAAATGAAACATAACAGCAGTTATGATGTAATTGTTTTAAACTGACCAGATTCTGGGGAGAGTTGGCCATGGGCTCCTTCTATCTCATCTGCCTGGTTTTCTTCTTCAATGGGAGCTTCAGTTTCTCTGTTCACAGCTTCTACAACAAGATACAGAAGCTTTACTGCAGTACCATGGAAACCAGCTAGGGAAACTATGATAATACTTGTACTTATTATATGACATTTATAAGGTTGGGAATGTCTGCAGATATGAATAGCAATTTGAAACCAGATGACAGGACAACATCTATAGTAAATGTCAATCAGGGTGCATTTTGTCCCCTTATTAAATGTAAAATACCTTTTATAAGAAGAAAGATTATCATGAAAGTTCATGTATGTTGGTAGTAATCAAAGTAAAAAGTTGAACTTTATTCCAACACACAGTTTTACAGAGATCAAATTGTGAAGTGATTGGTCATTAATTATCCTGATGAAGGTGACAGTGGTTGCTGAAAATTTGATCTCTCTGTAAACTGTGTGTTGGAATAAAGTTCAACTTTGTACTAAGAAGAAAGATTGTTTAAACTGACCAGGTCCTGTTGTATCCCTGGCACCCTCAGTTTCCCCTGCCTGCCTCTCTCCCTCAGTGTTGGGAGCTTCAGTGGCACTGATAACAGGGTCTACAAAAAGATACAGAAGCCAGCAGGAGCTTTTACTACAGTACCGCTAGGAAACCCATAATTACATGTAAACTTGTACATAATTTTGCTGACATCTACCCACATACCATGTACATGTAATAAAGATCTACTCACGTCTTCTTTAGTTTCTATTTCAGTGTAACTAAAGTAACATTTATGATAACAATATTGTTTTAAGCTGACCAGATTCAGGATCTCCTTCTGTCCCATCTGCCTGCCTTTCTTCTTCTGTGATGGGAGCTTCAGTTTCACTGGTAACAGGGTCTACAAAAAGATACAGAAGCCGGGATCAGTTTTACTGGTGCAGTACTATAGAAGCCCGCTAGGATATCCAACTTGTACAAGTACATAATCTTGCTGACGTGTACCCACATATACCATATATAATGAACATCTACACAAAATTTCAGTTTCATTGGTAATAGGGTCTACAAAAAGATACAGAAACCGGGATCAGTTTTACTGGTGCAGTACCATAGAAGCCCGCTAGGATATCCAACTTGTAGAAGTACATAATCTTGCTGACGTGTATCCACATTTACCATATATAATGAACATCTACCCAAAATTTCAGTTTCATTGGTAATAGGGTCTACAAAATGCACAGAAGCCAGAAGCTTCAGTACTATAGAACTTCGATAGGGGATTAATAATACTTATAGCAAACAAAATGCCAGGACATCATTTAAATTTCCATTAAGGGGTATTTTGCCCCCTTATCGAATAAGAATTATGCTAAAAATATATTATGATGATAAATTAAAGATAATGTTTTAACTGACCAGGTCCTTCTGTTTCATCTGCCTGTCTTTCTCCATTAGTGATGGGAGCTTCAGTTTCACTAGTCACAGCTTCTAAAAAAACAATACAGAAGCCAGAAGTTTTATATATTACTGCTGCAGTACTATAGAAGACCGCTAGAAGAACTATAATACTAGCACTTAATTGATGTAAGGCTGGGGGTGTCTGGAGCAAACCAGGTGACATGACAACATCTATGTTTACTTCACGGTGTGTTTTACTCCCTTATAAAATAAAAAATTATAGCATTCATGATAATAATATTACTTAGTAGTTAAAACTGACCAGATTCTGGAGGAGGTCTGTCTGCTTCTGTTTCTTCTGCCTGGCTTTCTTCTGTGCTGGGAGCTTCAGTTTCACTGGTTACAGCATCTACATAAATAAAATCATAGTAATATGGGGGCCTCACTTCCGGTTAGACCAGCAGGAATTGGAGAAGGTACAAAGAAGGGCCACCAAACTCCCTCTGAATCTTAGGGATCTACCCTACCAGGAGAGACTGAAGACTTTAGGTCTTCCCTCCCTACAGTATAGGAGGCGCAGAGGAGACATGATTCAGGTATTCAAACTAGCAAGAGGGCTGGAGGGAATCCAACTCGAATCCTTCTTCAAGAAGCGAACAGAAGGATCAACAAGAGGGCACAGTTGCAAACTGGAGGTCCCTTTGGCCAAGGGAAGAGTTAGACGACAGTCATTTAGCGTCCGGGTCGTTAGGGATTGGAACAGTCTACCACAGGCCGTAATTGACTCAGAGTCAGTAAATGAGTTCAAGACGAACCTAGACAAATACTGGGAGAGCATAAAGTATAACACTGAATGAAGTCAAGATCGGGATCACCACAGGATTACCTCTCATCCCGAAGACGGTATCAAGGTAATATACAGAAGTTCTGCTGCAGTACCATAGAAAGCCACTGGGAGACCCAAAATCGAATTTGTACTTAATGTTGCTGACATCTACCAAATGTCACGAAAATCTATCTACAATTTCTTGTGTTATACTGTCTCCAAATAAAATGCAAAACAAATGGCACCAAAAACATAACTCTGTTTGCAAAGTTTTAAAAGGACAAGATGGACATAACCAATTATCCTCTCTCTTTAATAATCATGATTGTTTGTACTGACCTGCCTCAGGAGAAAAATTTGCTGAACCATGTAGTTGGGCCTCTTCGGTGTTAGTTACCAAATTTTCTTTGTAAGTCTGGAAACGTTCAGCAGTTTCATCCATACTTCCTTGGACTTCTATAAAAACAGATTAAAAGGATTACATGTTGATCGATCAATCGATCAATCGATCAATCAATCAATCAATCAATCAATCAATCAATCAATCAATCAATCAATCAATCAATCAATCAATCATCCACTACATCCACTACATGTTTCTACTGGCAGAGATCCCAATCAGAGTTCCCGATCAGATTGAAGTGTTTCTACCCTGACATGATATATATACATTAAATTTTTTTAAAAGTATGCAATCATACAATCTATATACTATGTGTTCAAAACTCACCAGAAGTGGTAGTTTGCCGCTGAATGGGAGCCCTGGACCGAGGTTCCTCTGTGATATTTATCCTCACTGTAAGAAACAACATTTAATGTTAAGAGACAAATAGTATAGGTCTTAAGTTAAATGTACACAGTAATTGTAAAAGAACAATACTTCCATCCCTGTAAGTACAAATATGTTTTTTAAACTAAATCCCTTACCCATACTCTGTGGAGGTAGGTCAGCGACTTGGTAAGGCGTAGAGGACGACCCTTCAAGGACACGCTCTAACATAGCAGCAGTCGCCTCTGGTCCATGATGCAATCTCCAACACTCCATGGTCTGGAAAGGATGAGTCAGGCATTTTTTTTCAACCTTTATTTATCCTTGAAAATGTACAGTATGCCACTTTTCAAGAGTTTAAGGGTAGGTAGGTTAGGGGTCTTTTACAAAAGCTGGCTGCCCGGGTTTGGCGCAGGTTTATTTCCCTGTGTCCCAGGAGTCAGTGGTTTTTCTATTTCTACTTGCTTCTACTAGTATTTCACCATCATACGACTAAATTACTACACTGTACTACTTTAAAAAGCAAATGCAAACACTGATCAGAATAAAACTCCTTGATTATGCTAGAGTATGTATTTAGAGATTTCCAACTTAAAGAAGCATATATAACAGTCGGATATGATAAATATACCTCTATCAGCATAGCCTTGTGTCCTCCATACTCTTGTTTGATGTCCTCCAGGACTTCTTCTGGTATCTCCAGTCCAGTTGCCACCTCAATAACGTCTGTTTCTGTGTATCTGCTCCTTCCCATAGCATCAACCCTCTGTCTGATCTGCCTTTGTGTGATGGTGGTTTGGGCTAGTAGAAGTTAACATTACGATTATCACATGATTTAAATATCGTTGCGGCCAAAATATGTCTTTCATTGAGCAATCTGCAGTTGATTTAGAACCTAAAAAAAAAATTTTTTTTTGCAAATCAGAAAAAAACAGGGCGAATACGAGAAACAAAAAATTACTAGTAAATTGGCGTGGCCTTAAGTAGATTAAAAAAGAATGGTACCTGGCAGTTTGCTGAGATTTCTGTACAGGTGTCTGTTGAACCCTTTTTTCTCTGGACACAGGATACTGAAGTCACTCAGGAGGAACGGTTTCTGGAAATACTCGTCTCCAATCCCAAACACGACTGGAATGAGCCTCCTCTTCAGCTTTATATCGTGACTTTCCAAAATTCCGGCCAAGAACGTTAACATCTTATACTCCACGCCATCTTCTCTGTTAGTGTTCATCCTTTCCAGTACATCTGGAGAGAGGAAGACTATCGCATGGCGGCTATCAAGGAAGGACTGTTTGAATCTTTTCATCTGTTCCCCTTGTCCGTCTCTATGTGGGTCACAGATGGAAAACCCCCATCTACTGTGCTCCAGTTTGTCTCGTAACTTTTGTATCTCCGTCTTTTTTGGGTCGAATTCGTCGTAGTAGACTGCAGCATCGTACATGAAACTACAGTGTGGTGTGGTTGGGCCGTTTTCTGTCATCATGGTTCACATTTCTGAAATTAAAATTGGAAACAGAAGGTTACTAGTAAAGAGGTAAATAATAGCATGAGATATCAAAGTTTGTCATTTGTAAATTTGTTGTTACAGTAAAATTTGGCTAGCCAGCCACCTCTAGCTATAATAGTAGCTATCATAGTATATTTAACCACAGTCAAATTTTACATTTTTGTCATCTAGTTAAGAAATTCAACTAGTAAGTAAACAACTGTCTTTAATACCCAACCAGCAAATACTTTTATGACACTTGTTAGATTATAAGACATTTAGAAATTTTGGCATTTTGACTCTAATTTACTCGTTACAGAACAAACTATTACATGTAGTACATGACTAAACTTTACAGAACACATAACGTTAACATTTATCACATTAACAGCTAAGGAAAGGCGTTAGAAATGTCATCTTACCGGCCCTTCACTGCGTCAAGCTCCTTAAGTTGCCATAAACTTCTTTTCCAAAGGGTACAACTTTTTCACTCTTCACCTGCTTAGTGTACATGTATGACTCATCATATGCGCGCTTGCTAGGGGAAAATCCAGCTAAAAATAGAATCACGTCCCAGGACAATTCTCGCGCTACAAAAGAGTCTATAACTGAAAACTAACCTTGCAACACTTCGAGTGAACGTCCAGACACATGTCCGTCTATATAGGGATTCTCTGGGGTTCTGGAAATCGGAGAAACGAGGAATTTTTTTACCTAAAAAACGTCAACGAACAAACCCGGAAGTTTCTTCAGTTTCACTTTTGCCTAGAGAATCATGGGAAAAGTGGGCGATTTCATTTTAATGCAGGGGGTTCATTTTCCCAAAACGTCACCACGTCGAATATTATATTAAAACCTTCCAGACTTTCTACGAACAAACAAGCGCTTTGTAAATTGTAATGTCGGCAAAATTATTTATGATCTTTAAAAGTTATCTTAAATAGATTGAGAAGGTTCTGTCCTATAACTTTCAATAGTAAAATCAAAGTCACTCATTCAACAAAGGAAGGAGGGCAATTTATTTTGCCAGGAATAAACTTTCCTTGCGATAATAAAGATATATATAGTGCAGATGTACAGCATATGTCTTCCTTTTCGCGCGATTTGGTGTCTTTCTATCTAATGGTCTCTAGTGGTATTAAAGCTTTTTCTATTTTTCCCTCCTAACATCTGCTTGGAGTAGAATATTTACCAACCCCACTCAGCCTTTGCGTCCTTTGTGTAACCATTCTGTTTGTTCCAGAGGTCACAGCGTAAAAGATGGCGGACAGAAACACCACCGGCGAGGATCTCACGTTCCGTCTAGCGACTCAGAGCGACTATGACGCCGTCATGAGCATATCCGAGGGCGTGTACGAAGGCAGGGACTACCTTCCCGCGTTCTACAGGTCATTCGTGGACGATCCTGACGTCATTGTGTTCTTGGCTCTGGTCGGAAGCCAAGTGGTGAGATCCCGTTATCATATGTTTACCTGTTATAATAGTATGTTTACGAGTAGAAACAGATAAAAATCCCTGCTCCCGGGCCGGGGATCGAACCCATAACCTCCCGAGCACCAGCTTCAAAATCCGGCGCTCAAACCACTCGGCTAAAAGGTCTAGACCCAACGGCCGGGTCAGTTGGTGGCGCCTATAAACCCCTCACTGTTACATACCGAAGGAAAATATATTGTTTTTTGCTCAGTTTCTTCTTCTTCCTCCGTTCCAAATACTGTAAGGTCAGTGACCTGAACCAGACGTCTGTCACATACGTGTTGGGTTACATCATGTTGCAATTTTATAGCAGGAGGGATTTAGACTCCTGTCACCATATATATGAATGCGTTTGACTTTGAGTGAGATTTTAAACAGAGCAGACCATAGGGGAAGGTTAACATTATGCATTTGCTTTGCAAATGTTACCTTTCAAGTTTTATTTTTTTTTATTTTTAGTTATATTTTTTTTACAGGTGGGACTGCGGGCATCCAAGATCACCGAGAATGGAACTGCCTTTATCGTCAAAGCCGCTAGGGTCGCCCCTGACTGGAGGGGACAGGGAATCGACGGGCGGTTGTCTCTTCACCAGGACGAGTGGATGCGACAGAACCGCCCCACGGTCAAGTACAAAAGATCCACGGCGTTTTCACTAGCGACAGGCGTGGTGGAATCTATGAATAAGAAGATGCGGTACATATTTGGCATGGTGAGACCCGAACACTCTTTTTAATAGGACGTAAACTTAGTACGAGTGATGACACCGATGGCCTTTCGAATGAATGTTTATGCCTCAGTCACATTTCCAATGGCTTAACATATATATAGGGTCCAACCAGGATTTTAAATCTGCGAAAGGACACTGGTCATGCGTCGGTTATATTTCCATGCCGATGCCCAACCGGGTAGTTTTAATGCTGTTTAGAACTCAACAATATCCGGAGAGTCACATAGGGGTCTCACTGGGAAAACACCAAACACATTAACTCGTAAAGTTGTAAACTACCCGTTGAGGCATCGGTTTGGAAATGTCATTGTAGCATGCACGGTACGTCTAAGGTAAGGTATAAGAAATCTAACGTATATGCGATGTTCCATCTCTCAGCCCTTCATAGAGTACCAGTGCGGCCCCGGTCTCTGGTGGCGACAGGATCCTGCTCAGCTGGCTCAACTGGAGCCGACCGGCTTACCGGACGTCGTGCCTCTACAGGACGCAGACGACGACTTCTGTACGGCCGTACAGAAATGGCTTCCCGCCGGGGCTTGTGGCGGCTACGACGGCAAACCTGTCATACTGGTTGACTGGGACCCTTACACCTTATCCCCAACTAACTTAAAACGTCTACAAGCAAACAACACTATTTACACGTTGAACCACGAAGGAGAATCCAGTCTCAGTCTTTCCAATACATACCTCTCGCCTACGGTGAGAATATTGTGCGTCCAAATCTACTCCAAGGACTTTCCAACCGTCTTAAAACACCTGTTAAGGCACCTGAAGGATACAAGTCACACCTACCGCAGTGATGTGTTGTGCGTGGGTGTGTTTGTACCACAGTGTGAGTTAGATGACACAATCCACGATCTCTGTAAGCAAACCTTACAGATGGAACAGGTCCATCCTCCCAAGGCACAGGCGCTGGTTTATGAATCTGAAATGTGATGTGACGACTGAAACTACGTTCTAGTGTACGAGTAATCTCCAAGCAGATCTTTTGTATTAACAAATTCTTGTATTAATAAAAATTACAGTCTTCCATATACAAGTACTTGTAGTAAATGTTGATGATAATATACCGGGTAAGTGTTTGCAATAAAAAGAAAAAGGCACGGACATGTATTACGTTGCATTGTATTGTATGATTACTATTACTTTTGGATGATATAGTGCAAAACAATACATAAAAAGTACAATTTTGAAGAATGAAACTAAAACAATGGAAAGAGAAAATCGAGGTAGACGGCGATTCAATGAAAATATTGACGACTTTAACTAGGTAGTATTAGTGAGAATAAAAACTATAGTATTTTTTTTCAATTGAGTTTTTTTCAAATGCATACTTTAACTATTCTGATTTTTTTCCTTCGTTTTAGAGGCAGAAGAGGCACAGAATTTATCTTTCATCAGAAAATATATAAGAAAATTACGGAATGGTACACAATTGTGACTGCAGAAGTTCATATTTTCACCCGGACATTTTCTTACGACGAACCACGTGTGACACAAATTGCCACCTAGTACCTCACAGCTCACTTTCGAAAAGCACTGCTTGTAAGCCCGGCTTGTGCAGCTCGTCCATGTTTAAAACGTCCCTGCAGAATTCGTGGATTGAGTTCTCCAACTCAACTACACCTGAAAATACTCTCATACAGATCTGGTCACTTGTGTACATGAGGCTTGCGTCGTACAGATGTTTCAACAAATGTTTTTGCAGAGTAGGAAAGTCCTTAGCATATACATCGACACACAGCATTCTACCACAAGGGGCTAGGTATGTGGTTACGATACTTAGACTGAATTGTCCTTCGTGCTTAAGTGTAAACAATGTGCTCTCTTTCTGTAGATGTTTTAAGTTAGCTGGGCATAGATTGTACGGGTCCCAGTCAACCAGTATGATGGGTTTGCCGTCGTAGCCGCCACAAGCCCCGGCGGGAAGCCATTTCTGTACGGCCGTACAGAAGTCGTCGTCTGCGTCCTGTAGAGGCACGACGTCCGGTAAGCCGGTCGGCTCCAGTTGAGCCAGCTGAGCAGGGTCCTGTCGCCACCAGAGACCGGGGCCGCACTGGTAGCTTACGAAGGGCTGAGAAGTGAAAATTACAAAATAAAGTGTCTGACCTTTTGACCTGTCATTCTTCCTGTCAATCTTCCCCCACCCACGTGCTGTCAAGCACCTACCCTGTCCGGACAAACAGACACACAAACCTACACTTCAGCCACCCAAAACAATACTTACGTGCCCAACAGTAACTACATTAAAATCAACGATAAGTGAGGATGGTATAATTAGGGCCGATCCTGATCGAACACATCGAACCTCCTGTTCTATTTCGAACACCAGCGCGGGAAGTCTAAAATCTGCCTAGAGAATAGGTGTTCGAAATAGGTGTTCGAATGTTCGGGGGTTCGATGTGTTCGATTCGGATCGGTCTATTGGTTAACAGGCATATCTGACTCACCAGGCTAAAAATATGCCGTATTCTTGTGTGGAAGTATTCCGCCGCAGGGCTGTTAGAAAGTGCCGTTACTCTCATGTACTTGATCGTGGGGCGATTCTGGCGGATCCAAGCCTCTTGGTGAAACAACAGCTCATTCATAATGCCTTGTTCCCTCCAGTCAGGAGCGACCCTCGCCGCTTTACCTACGTAGACTTGCCCGCCTTCCGTGAATTTTGATGCTCTGAACCCCACCTGATCAGTGAATACAACAACAACAAATTGCCTGGACATCAGTTTTGATGGACAACTCTGCAATGTATAGATAGACCACTCTTGCGTCTCATATACAATCTACAGTACATCTGGTCCATAATATAGCGCCATAAATTTGACCTAGATTTTAAATAATTGATACTGAAAAAACACGTTTCTGTATCTTCTGTTCCGGTGTTCATTTTTCTATTGACTTTAACTTTTCACGTGGGCCTAAAGAGTTGCAGGTTTCTGCTACTTAGCTGCTTCTTTTGGAATTGCAGTGACGTTTGTGTTTAAAACTTGGATCATCATTTTCTTCAGGTATGTAACTCAGGATACAGTAGTACATACGCAAGTTATGGAAATAAGAACTTAATTTACGTATATAATGATCGAGATACTTTCTACTTTTATCCATTTTTTCACTGTAGGAACTTCCTACTCATTTCACATGCTGTATGTATTTTTGTCTTACTGACCACTTGGTGTTCAACCTCTGCCACGAACACCGTGACGTCAGGATCGTCTATGAAGGAGTGGAATTTGGCGGGAACGTAGTCCGTACCGGACAGTCCCTCCGAGATCCGCATGATGGCGCTGTAGTCACCGTGACGCGCCAAACGGATGGCCACTTGTGGTTGGCTGCGGGCGGGACCCTTCGCTGTACGGGTAAGGTCAAAGGTTGCAAGGCATTGTCGTGGTTTGGCAGCATAATATAGCCAGTATTATACCCCAGGCTTATAAACTCTAACACAAACGCTGGCCCAAACTAACGACACTTCTCCCTGACTGAGCAAAATCACAAGAGCCATCCAAAATTCGTGACCAGATCGCCAGGTAGTAAAACCGGAAGTTCAGCTGCAGTACCAGAGGGCCGAAAATCGAAAATCTAGTCAGTTATAGGCTCTTCTATGTCTCATTCAGACCTTCCCACCTACGAACTATAGTATCAAGTTTCATGACAATCCATCCAAAGCTTCTTAAGTTACCGTACTAAACCACACACACACATTATACATGCATAAATACAAAGTTCCCGCAACATACTAGTAACCTTCCAGTTCCAAGCGAAGACATTAATAAAATACCTGTAGAATAGAAGAACGACCCGAGCCGCTGCATACACGGGAACATGTGCCGCCGGTACGTAGTATAACTAACCCTGTGTACCGCCCTGCACACTTGTAGAAACGTCATTATTATACCTACGTATACAGGCGAGTTCGCAAAGTCCCCGAAATGGCGATGGCACCTGAACCTTGAACCCTCAAGCACAGAGGTCAGGGTTCAAAGGTAACGTAAGTAACTCCCTGGAGATGAAAGGCACCCGCATACCCTTTTTCGTAAGGCGTAAACAGGCCTTTTTAGCCTCCGTAATCCGTAGGCAGCCTCCCCAAAAATCAACGTCATTCGTAACCAGTACATTAGCCACAATTTTCTTTTCAGATGCATACTTTAAGTAACTATTCCGATTTTTCTGTCAGGTTTGGGGACAGGAAAAGCACTGAGAATTTATTTCCCATCAGTAAAAAGTACGTATATACAAGAAAATTACGGAATAGTGCATAATTTTGACTACAAAACTTACTCTTTTGATTGGGACATTTTCTTACAGCGACCCACGTACATGTTATGTACAAAACTGGTGTGTTATAATTACGCCTCAAGGCGGTTTACCGGTTATGCGAAACAAACAAACAAAAACGTGTGACATGAATTGCCACCTCACAGCTCACTTTCGAAAAGCACTGCTTGTAATCCCGGCTTGTGAAGCTCGTCCATGTTTAAAACGTCCCTGCAAAAGTCGTGGATTGAGTTCTCCAACTCAACTACACCTGAAAACACTCGCATACAGACCTGGTCACTTGTATACATAAGGCTTGCGTCGTACAGATGTTTGAACAAGTGTTTTTGCAGAGTAGGAAAGTCCTTAGCATATACATCGATACACAGCATTCTACCACAAGGGGCTAGGTATGTGGTTACGATACTCAGACTCGATTCTCCTTCGTGCTTAAGTGTAAACAATGTGCTCTCTTTCTGTACACGTTTTAAGTTAGCTGGGCATAGATTGTACGGGTCCCAGTCAACCAGTATGACGGGTTCGCCGTCGTAGCCGCCACAAGCCCCGGCGGGAAGCCATTTCTGTACGGCCGTACAGAAGTCGTCGTCTGCGTCCTGTAGAGGCACGACGTCCGGTAAGCCGGTCGGCTCCAGTTGAGCCAGCTGAGCAGGGTCCTGTCGCCACCAGAGACCGGGGCCACACTGGTAGCTTACGAAGGGCTGAGAAGTGAAAATTACAAAATAAAGTGTCTGACCTTTTGACCTGTCATTCTTCCTATCAATCTTCCCCCAACCCACGTGCTGTCAAGCACCTACCCTGTTCGGACAGACAGACACACGAAGCTACACTTCAGCCACCCAAAACAATACTTCCGTGCCCAACAGTAACTACATTAAAATTAACGATAAGTGAGGATGGTATAATCACAGGGCCGATCCTGATCGAACACATCGAACCTCCTGTTCTATTTCGAACACCAGCGCGGGAAATCTAAAATCTGCCTACGGAATAGGTGTTCGAAATAGGTGTTCGAATGTTCGGGGGTTCGATGTGTTCGATTCGGATCGGTCTATTGGTTAACAGGCATATCTGACTCACCAGGCTAAAAATATGCCGTATTCTTGTCTGGAAGTATTCCGCCGCAGGGCTGTTAGAAAGTGCCGTTACTCTCATGTACTTGACCGTGGGGCGATTCTGGCGGATCCAAGCCTCTTGGTGAAACAACAGCTCATTCATAATGCCTTGTTCCCTCCAGTCAGGAGCGACCCTCGCCGCTTTACCTACGTAGACTTGCCCGCCTTCCGTGAATTTTGATGCTCTGAACCCCACCTGAGTGAAAAAAACAACAACAACAAATTGCCTGGACATCAGTTTTGATGGACAACTCTACAATGTATAGATAGGCCACTCTTGCGTCTCATATACAATCTACAGTACATCTGGTCCATAATATAGCGCCATAAATTTGACCTAGATTTTACGACTTTAATTGATACTGAAAAAACACGTTTCTGTATCTTCTGTTCTGGTGTTCATTTTTCTATTGCCTTTAACTTTTCACGTGGGCCTAAAGAGTTGCAGGTTTCTGCTACTTAGCTGCTTCTTTTGGAATTGCAGTGACGTTTGTGTTTAAAACTTGGATCATCATTTTCTGCAGGTATGTAACTCAGGATACAGTAGTACATACGCAAGTTATGGAAATAAGAACTAAGTTGCGTATATAATGATCGACATACTTTCTACTTTTATCCATTATTTCACTGTAGGAACTTCCTACTCATGTCACATGCTGTATGTATTTTTGTTGTACTGACCACTTGGTGTTCAACCTCTGCCACGAACACCGTGACGTCAGGATCGTCTATGAAGGAGTGGAATTTGGCGGGAACGTAGTCCGTACCGGACAATCCCTCCGAGATCCGCACGATGGCACTGTAGTCACCGTGACGCGCCAAACGGATGGCCACTTGTGGTTGGGCGGGACCCTTCGCTATACGGGTAAGGTCAAAGGTTGCAAGGCATTGCCGTGGTTTGGCAGCATAATATAGCCAGTATTATACCCCAAACTTGTTATAAACTCTAACACAAACGTTGGCCCAAACTAACGACACTTCTTCCTGACTGAGCAAAATCACAAGAGCCATCCAAAATTCGTGACCAGATCGCCAGGTAGCAAACCCGGAAGTTCAGCTAGCTTCAGTACCAGAGGGCCGAAAAACGAAAATCTAGTCAGTTATAGGCTCTTCTATGTCTCATTCAGACCTTCCCACCTACCAACTATAGTATCAAGTTTCATGACAAGCCATCCAAAGCTTCTTGAATTACCGTACTAAACCACACACACACATTATACATGCATAACCAGTGTCCTTGCATAGATACAACGCTACCGACAACATAAACCTTCCAGGCGAAGACATTAAAATACCTGTAGAATAGAAGAACGACCCGTACCGCTGCATACACGGGAACATGTGCCGCCGGTATGTAGTACAACTAACCCTGTGTGCCGCCCTGCAAACTTGTACAAACGTCATTATTATTTCATTATTATACCTACAGGCGAGTTCGCAAAGTCTCCGAAATGGCGGTGGCACCTGAACCTTGAACCCTTAAACGCGGAGGTCGGAGAATATTTTGCCTGTTGCAGAAGATATTTTTCCGACATAACACTTTTTTTTAAGTTGGAAACTACAGTCGGGATGTTAACTTTATGGATGTGAATACGACCTCATATGAGACGTTCTGCCTATGTTAAAGTGCTATGCAAAACACAATACAGATTTGGCGCAGGTGCAGTACGTTCTGCCGACGCGTTCCTTAGTCAAATTTAAGGTCACGACCGTGGCGTACAAGATGGCGGACAGCAGTAATACTAGTTCTAGCGGAAAGGAGCTAACTTTTCGCCTAGCTTCTCACCGCGACTACGACGCCGTCATGAGTATATCTGAGGGTATCTACGGCGACAGAGACTACCTCCCCGCCTTCTACCACGCCTACATAGACGATCCTGACGTCACTGTGTTCCTTGCAATGGCCGGAGAGCAAGTGGTAAACGTTAAGGTGTTAGTAGTATAGAAGGAACCTGACGACTCATATTACAGAGGGGGCGGGTCTGAGGTCCATGACGATGTGCACATTTGAATACGGGTCACCTAAAAAAAAAAAAGCTTTTTTACGAAATTCAACAGTAACTGGTAACGTTAATGTGTTAGTAGTATAGAATGTACCAGACGATACATTTTACAGAGGGGGTGGGTCAGGAGTAAAGGACAATGTTTACATTCATTTGCATAGAAGTCATTGAAAAATCCACATATTTTTGACGCAATATAAAAGGATAGTCTTAATGTTGTATACCTGGTTTATAACTTGAGGTTTCCGTATAACATTCTTCATTCAAATTTCTGCAGATTTTGTTTAACTGCTCTTTCATTGTATGTATGGCTTTATGATTCTTTTACAATGACTGTTAAACATTAAGATGTTGTTTTATTTTCCTATATATAGGTGGGGCTAAGAGCATCTAAGATCATGGAAAGTGGAACTGCATTTATCACGAAAGCCGCTAGGGTCGCCCCTGAGTGGAGGGGGCAGGGGGTTGACCGGCAGTTGACTCTCCACCAGGACACTTGGGTTCGCCGGAACTGCCCCAAGGTCAAGTACAAGCGATCGGTGACGTTTGCAGACACCCCCATGTCGGAATCCATGAAGAGAAATATGCACTATATTTTCAACTTGGTAAGATTCCTTTTATTGTATGAAATGTACTAAGAATTTATTTCATTGTTTTATGCTTTAAATTTGTTTCTTCTCCAAACAAACAAGGTCAATGACCTGAACCAGACCTAAGCTTCTGGTTAGATTCTGAGACCTTTGTCTTTCTCTCATTCTGCCTGTCAATCGTCCACCACCCATGTGTCTTCAACCTACTCTGTCTGGACAGACACACAAACCCATACTTACGCCACTCAAAACAATACTTCTGTACCTAGAAGTAACGTAGTGTTAACTAGTTTTTCCCCTCAGCCCTTTGTAGGCTACCAATGCAGCCCCGATCTCTGGTGGCGACAGGACCCTGCTCAGCTGGCTCAACTGGAGCCGACCGGCTTACCGGACGTCGTGCCTCTACAGGACGCAGACGACGACTTCTGTACGGCCGTACAGAAATGGCTTCCCGCCAGGGCTTGTGGCGGCTACGACGGCAAACCCATCATACTGGTTGACTGGGAACCCTACACCCTATCTCCGACTAACTTAAAACGTCTACAGAAACAGAGCACACTCTTTGCACTGAAGCATGAAGGAGAATCGAGTCTGAGTATTGTAACCACATACCCAGCTGCTGCAGGGATGCAGTTGTGTATCGATGTTTACGCCAAAACCTTCCCCACTTGGAAGAAACACGTGTTAAAACACCTGCACGATGCAAGCCGTACCTCCAAAAGTGACAACATCTGCGCTAAAATGTTTGTAGGTCTCTTCGAGTTGGAGGACTCGATCCACGACTTCTGTAGGGACACTCTAAAGATGGACGCGTTTTATGAATCCAGGATTCGAGCGGACGTTTTTGAACTTAAGTTATGAGGGACCTAACTTCCCAAGGCTGTGGCATTTTGATGTTACTTCCTTTTTTTATCAGTCTGTGGTTACAGCACTCCCACTCACTGTGGTGACTCTATTTAAATAGCTACGGAGTAACAGCAGCAAAACAAATATGTAACACCAAAATCTGTACATGGAGGTAACTAGTAGCAAAGGTTAATTAGCAATAAAACCATACAGAGACAATATGCAGCATTGTTAAAAACAGATTTATCGTCAAAGATAGAAAATTTTTAGATGTGTAAAAGATATAAAATCTGTAACAATGGAGACATAAAAGTGTCATAACATCATAAAAGCTTGTGCCAATCATTTTTGGCATTTCGTTCCATATTTTCTATACTTTTTACAAGTATGAATAGTGTTGTTTTGACACTGTTCTGATATTCATATTGACTAGAAAATACAAAAAGCATTTCTTATGATCCAAACATTAATATGTTGTCTCATATTTGGCATTTCACACAATTATCTTATCATAATGTCTATAATACTACATTTTAACCAAAAAATGATAAGTTTTGTTTCTTCCTTCAAGTTTACACATTTCATTGGTTTCTCAAACCTACACTGTTATATCCACTTTTATTTTGCATGCCTATGGCAGCTTTTTTCTCAACTCTTAATTCTTTTCAATTTGATACAATGTCATTACATTACATCTTGCTCCAGTATACTTTACCTTAGTCTAAGGATTAAGACTTTAAACAGTTATAGCCATTTGAACATCACATCAGATATTTGAATAGGCCATCTTTTGACCTATTTTTACGCAAGAAGATTGTCCAAGTACTTAAAAACACTCAAACTCATGGTTCCTAATTCCTCATTCCATTTCTGCAACTGGACGTTTTTTCCTGCTCAGACTTCTTCTCAACCGACCCACCAAACTTGGATTCTTCTGTTTTTCTTTGGCTGTGAAATAAAACATTAATAGGTTTAGGATTTAAAAAAAGCCCTTCAAATATTTGATGCAACATGGAATATATACATTTTATCCATACTTATACATACCTGAAATATATACATACCTCGAAACAAATCTCTTTCAAATATAAACCTGTGGAGTCTGACCATAGCTAAAGATTCAAATCCAGTACATGAAATGCAATGAATCTACAGATTTTTAAGACCAAGGAAGCTCAAATGGTTCAAGGCTTACTTGAAGAAGTCCCTTTGAGGCTGAAGCTGCGAAAGAACCCTGCAACACCCTTCTTCTTTTCTGGCTCTACAGGAACAGAAATGGATAATTCAGAAATGACAGATTGATAATGAATTGTGATTCAATTTATTGTGGGATTTTTGCAGGATTAATCAACAATATTTCAAACTAAAATATTGGTTTGTTGAGTTATGACTTTCTACATGTATCCCAAAGAGTAAAGAGACTCTTTTCTCACACAACCAAGTGTTATATTCACAGCCGACGTTTTGGTGACCGTCTGTCACCTTCCTCAGGGCAATTCTGACTGGTTCACATTGCACTGCAGCACAGGTGTCGCTGCTGTAGATGCATTCCCAAACGTAAATACATATCTACACAAATACATGCACGGTTACAGGGAACTGTATCTACAGTGCGATCCCAAATGTACAGGAGTTGGATATATACATAATAGTGGTCGGTTATTAAAAAACAAACAGCAGTTAGAGAACAGACTCCACAATGTATCCCAAAGTTTCTACAAGCATGCCAACCTTTTCTGGCTTCTGGTTCTTGTTGTGTCATAGCTGGAAGGCTGTGGAAGTCAGGCACGTCATCAGACTGTCCTGAAGCTGAGTAGAAATCGGAAAATGCTGGTTAGAAACCTTCTCTAAAACACAGGCACAGAGTGTCAAACAAGAGCAGAAAAATGGCATAAACATGCTGAAAATGGAGCAAATTGAATGCTTAGATTTAGAAAAGTATATGTAATCATATGAATGCCCATTTTAGACATCAAACTTTTGTATTTGTTTGTTAAATTTCTTTTGAAAATAGATGATGATGCATTTATTTCAGAGCTTTTTTATACTAGTAATAGTGAACTACATGTTGCTACCAAATAGTAGTGTTATGGCTGTTAGTTCAGCACCAAGGACAGGGTTAAACACCCAACATGTTGTCTCACACTCAAACAACATAAATTTCCATGGAAGTGATAATTTAAATAATGATTATCATGATAATAAGTATTCTGCTGTATTCTGGGACTCACCTCCCATGCCAGGGTCACATGACTGCTGGGTATTCAGGTTCAGGGTTTGAAGCCCTTCAGACAATTCTTCATCCTCAGTGTCATTTGCACCAACCACAACACCACTATCCGTATCTTCAACACACAAAATACAAATCCTATTATAGTCTGGTATTAACATGAAAACTTCCAGGACTATGATTAGTACAACATTAATCAGAATATAGATGCATTTTTACCACATTTTTACACATACGCATGTGAAAGTTCTTAATTTTGGTACTATTTTTGTTTGAATCATTTCTAGAGACCTCGGGTTTATATGGGGGTTTGGTAGTGGGTAGATGGTTAAGTGAATTTTCAGTATCTAGAACAAACCTGGTCCCCTCTGTCCGGGTGAGCCTGTTTGAATGTCCGGTGTTTCATCTGGTGGCAGGGAAGATGGAGGTGGATCTTGCATGGAAGGACATGCACCTGCAACATGAAACAATTACACATATACATTATACATTATACATGTACTTGTCTATGCTTTCCATTAATTAAAACAACTTGCACAATGCTACATATGCCACTGGAGTTTATCATTTTGATAGATTGTCAGAATTCAACATAAGTCAAGCATGCAAAAGTTTGTGTAATTTATTACTAATAGGATTAAACCACAACTTACTGCTGGGTTGTGTGACCATTTGAGATGCAGGAGCTGAATATTCAGCTGAGCTCAATCCAACTGTGGAAAAATAAAAAATAAAGATTAATAAACCACTAGAATAGTGCTTAAAAAAGACATAGACTTGTAATGCTATCGGGGTTAGGATGGTAGAATTCAGCAAATTTAAAATGGGGTCTGACTGGCCAGGAGAGTGGTTTACTGGTTATGTGAAACAGATAAACCAGTAAACAAACAAACAAATAAACAAACAAACAAACAGTACCGAGACTGTGCTGTTGTTGCTCCTCCTGTACAGGCATGGAGGTGGCCTCCCTGATGACATCATCAACCACTTCCAGGGTGGCCTCGGCACCCAGGTGGGCCTTCCAGCAGTAGAACACCTGGGGAGAACGGAAACACACCTGTTACCATGGTGATGATGGTTTCCATGGTGACAGACAATGCTGAGCTCCTAATGGACTGTATTATAAAGTAATAAAAGAATACTGGGCTCCTATTGGTAGTACATTGGGAATGGGAATGGTTCTCTCGATCTAGAAGTATGTGGCCACAAGCTATCTGGGAGGAGGCCCAAACAGCCAATGGCAGTTGTGTCACAGACTTAGAAAACTTTTATGCCCCATTCCCACTAGGATGAAATTGTCTGGATCAAGCTGAATTGATTCGCTTTGATCTGGCTTCGATCCAGCTAGACCTGGCCTAAAACCCGATGAAAGCGAATCACTATTCGACTCCATCTGGACAATTTTATCCTAGTGCGAAAAGGGCCTTAGGTTTCTGAACAGTTTTTAGTATGATCCATGCTTCCTAAATTCTGAGTGGTACAGGTGTGAAAAAAGTGCAGGTATGAAAATAATAGTATTTCAAGGCCTGGAAAATGATCCTAACTAACTGACCTGTCTCAGCCTGGCCTGGCTGCCTGCATACTCCACTTTGATGCTGTCCACTACCTCCTCAGGCAGACCTAACTTGGCAGCGACGTCTAGAACAGCCTCCAGCTGCAGGTGTTTCACCTGCTGCACTTTCTTGGATACCTGCAGCATGAAAGCATCTGGAACTGGAAGGGAAGAGATAGTGTCATCATCACTAAAAAAATCTTAAATGAGGCTAATGTATTCTCAAAATGGACACAAGGAGTTGAGTTACAACATTATTTCATCACTTGAGAAGTTAGTCCAAACTAGAAGGTAACATTTGCAAAGCAAATGCATAATATTTACCTTCACGAGGGCCTGCAAGGGGGGGTAGTGATTACGAATTACGCAAAATTTTTGCCGCCTATTACGAATTACGTTAAAGGCTCAGAGCTGATTACGACTTTACGATTTGCAGCTAATGTCCAATTACGAATTACGTTGATTTTTGCGGAGGCTACCTACGAATTACGAAGTCTACAATGGCCTGATTACACCTTACGAAAAAGGGCTTGCAGGCCCTCCTTCACATATGATCTGCTCTGTTAATTCTTACTCAAACACATTCATACTTACGGTCAGACAGGAGTCTAAATCCCTACTGCTATAAAATTGCAACATGATGTAAACCCAACACTAGTTACCATGGTGACAGATGTCTGGTTCAGGTCATTTACCTCATTTGTTTGGAGAAGAAGAAGAAGAAGAAACAGAGCAAAAACAATATGTTTACCCTCTGCCGAGGTTAACATTTATTAATTAGGCTAATATTTTCTCAAAATGGACATTGGTTGGAGGTTACAGTTGTTTCTTCATTGCAAAAGTTAGTTTAAGTTAATCATTCTTCCATTGCCTCTTGGGGAACAAGGCAGTTATTTTTCTTTTTATGTAAGAAAAATGAATACAAGTACCTGGTTCCCTGCTCAGAGTCCTGTAGATTTTTCTCCAGAAGCCTACCTCCCCCGGATGAAATGGTGTGTACCCACTCAGGATGAGCGGTGTCACATCGCCCTCTGACGCGTCAAACATGACCGGCATCACCTTTCTCTTCATCGTGTTATCGCGCCTCTTTAGTATGTTACACAAAAACGTCTCCACGTTGAACTGGGCATTGTTTGCTTGCTTCTTTTTGATCCGTTCCAGGAGACTTGGGGAGAGAAAGACGAGAGCGTGGCGGCTGTTTTTGGCGGAATGTTCGAATCGGCCCATCTGAGTGCCATCCCCGTCTCTGTAAGGGTCACAGAGAGTTAGCTCCCACCGATCACTCTCCAGGCGAGCGCGGATGTCTAAGATTTGTGCCGTCTTGGGGTCGTCCTCTTCGTAGTAAACTGCAGAGTCATAGGTGAAGTCTTGTTCCGTGTCTTCTTCAGTGGTCTCGCTACTCGCCATTTTTCTTCACCCACTGTTGGTGTAATTTCCTACCAAACACCGACGACGCAAAAGTTCATATATTTACGCAAGGAGGTTCAATACATTTGATTTTAAACCTCCTTAATTTACGGTAGAATCAGTCGGGGAATTTTGTAAGAAGTAAAAGTGATGAAATCCCCGTTGACGAAGGGGAAATTTCTATGACATCATTGCTAAAAGTAGAAGGGACTTTCCGACTAGGTGTGGGCGGCACAAAGCTTTCAAAAGTGCAAAAACAACGCGAAAATGACCAAATTAGAAGGTTACTAAGTGACGATAGTGGGCAGAAATCATCTGAAAATCGACCCCATCGTATTTAGCTCAGTTCTTGCGAATTTTTGGACGAAAAAACTCCGAAAAATAAACCCACCTGTTCCAAACCCGGAACTTAGTGCTCAGTTTCACTTTCCTCAAAGCATCATGGGTAATTTGAAGACACCACTTCAGTTAGGGGGGCAGCAAAATATTTCTGACGACAAATTGATAAAATCTACCTCAAATTTCTACCCTTTTTGTTAACCATACAACTAGATTAAATAATTATAAGCACAAGCAGTTGTTTTTTATATACAAAAGTGTTTTATTCATATTATTTTTGAATTAAGTGTGAACGCCCAAACCCTATTTTCCAGTGAACGGTTCCACTGAGATTGCTTGTTCATACACATTGCTAGTCTAGTATCATGGCAAGCAAGGAGAGAGAAGGTTACGATTTCGTCTTACTTTACCACGAAGATGACCAAGACATGGCGTTTGATGTCTTGGAGTCGGTAGAGGAAAACTTTTCGCTTCGTGGGTTCTTCCACGGAAGGGATGCCATTCCTGGGAAGAGCATTTTCGACCAGTTGGAGACAAGTCTCCAGTTCAGCCGAAACGTACTGTGTCTCCTAACACCGAGATCCGTGGACGAGGGTTGGGGCAATTTTCAGATAGAAAATGCGGTCCTGACCAGGTTGCTTAGTGAGAAACATAAAAATGTTGTCTCAGTGATGTTGGAAGAATGTCCCGTACCGATTGCTCTACAAGATACTCCACCCCTAAAGCCAACGGGACAGTGGTATTGGAGCGTTCTGTATAGGAGCCTTGTTAAAAACACAGGTAACGTTACATGTAACACGTTTTGATAATAAGTTACTTGTTGCCTTCGACAGAAGGCTATGAAATCGTTTTGGCACTGTTTGGCAGATTATGCACGATAAAGTTTGAAGGCATGGTCCGTGGTTCACGATTTTTGGTAGGCAGGTTAACGTTGTCTTAGTGATGGGCATTGTCAAGACCAAAAATGGGCTTCGTGGGGGGTTCTTACGTGACTGGTGCTGACCTTTTGTGTTTTTTGTTGTACTATAAATAACTCGGGAATCCTTAAATGGTTGTCTCCTGTCTGACCATATATATGAATGTATTTGAGTAAAACTTAACAGAGCAGACCATATTTGAAGGTAAACATTATGCATTTGCTTTGCAAATGTTACCTTTCTAGTATGACTTGTTCTTGCTGTGGAAGTATTGTTTTGGGTGGCTGACTTGCAAGATTGTGTGTTTCGTGTTTGAGTAGAGACGGTTGCATGGAGGGTGGGAGGTGGTTTTGACAGTTGATTGATAGGCAGGTCAAGCCAGGTGGGGGTAAGTGGGTAGGTATGTGGAGGAATCCAGGAATGGGTATGAAACCCAATTGAATTACATCATACAATCAGTAAAGACTTGCACTTGCACTTGATGCAAGTACTTTTAACCCTCAGTTCTGGGGGAAAAGATGTTAAACTAGATAGAGAGAGAGAGAATCCCCTCCACAGACCAATGAATTTGCAAAAACTGTTTCCTGAATGTTTGAAATCTCTGATGTTTTGTTATGATTTGGAAAAAAACAAGGCTATATGCTTGTGACTAACTCACACTAATTCATACTTAAAATTGATGTCATATATTGAATCTTGTCAGTATGACCTTATATTGGCTAACTGTAGATAAACCTATTTCAGGGCCATGTCCAGTTTCCATAAGAGCTTCAGCAGAAAAGGTTTTCAAAGCTGTCCAACCAGACAAGGGAAAGGCTGTCACCTTCTGTAGAAACCTGGGTGTCCCTGACGTGGTTTGTGAAGAGATTTCCACCCAAGCTGCCGGCATCAGAGCTCTCCTTGTTCAGGTGTTTAACTGCTGGACCAAACATTATGGGCAAGATGGGACGGACAATATGGTAGACATGGCTTTGCGGAAAACGCTTGCAGGTATGGCCACAATTATGACTTATATATATATGCATCCCTGCATGATATAGTGGACATACCTTTGCAGAAAACACTTGTAGGTACCGGTATTGCCACAATTGTGACTTATATATGCCTCCCTGCACCAGTCTACATTAGATATTCTACTTCTTGAGCCCTTCTTGTATGATATGGTGGACATAGCTTTGCAGAAAACACTTGTATCATTTGGTCCTCCTATATTTACATCAGGACCCCCAACCCTCTATCATATGTGCCTAGCAGATAAAACATTATGCATCATTTTCGTATGAAGTTTTTGGTATGGCAAGGTTTGAACCCATCCCTAATACAAAGTGAACAGTCCCTAAAAAACAACACTAGACTATTGCATGCACCAGTCTACATTTAGACATCCTACATTCTTGGTAGTTGTCCATAGTTCTCAAAGATGACGTTTAATTATTACAAGCATCCTTTCATCTATCTGTATGTTTTGATGACTTTTGTCCGACTGCTGTTTTACAGGTGAATGCAGACATTGACCCAGGATCAGATCACATTCAGTTCAAGTGGCAAGAAATTGTCCTATAGCTACTCTTCAAAGTAGCAATACAATCTAGATCTTTTGTAAGCTTATATACTTTAATTTTGACACTTTGCAGTATGAAAATGTATCATAGCATTTATATGGCTTTTACTTGTAACGTACATGTAAGAGTATGTTTTTCACTTGTATTCAACAGTTTTGTAACTTTTGTAAATGTAAGTGTGCCTGTTGTCTTACTCTATACTAGTGCTATCAACTGTGCCCTTAACTAGTTATCTATGTGAAAAACACATTCACATAAAACTCTATGAAATCTAGCATTAAATCCAATCACATCTGTAAAACATTTAGCTGATTACGTTACATGTAGGTGTTTGTGCATATGTACCTATAAAATAAACTGGTTCATGTTTTGACTGCACGTGCTGTATGATGTATTGTATGTAATATGACAGATCAGAAAGCCCCCAAAGATGTAAACAAACCATTAATGGTCAGACAAGAACTGTTTGCAAGTAAGGGTCATTTGATCATTGTGCAGTTCAAACTACCTGTATCATCATTTTTACATGACTTAAATTCAATATCAGTGTCCATTAGGTCCCTTTCAAGGCTGGGAAATCGTAGAAATTAGGAAAATAGTTTGAGCGAAAAACAAAATTCCCCCATTAGTCATGGAGGTACATGTAATAAACCACACACTGAAGTATCCATGTTAGCCTGGGTGCCATCCTTTTTGGGAATCCCACTTGCTGGTGGCTAGGGTAGTCATGGGCTAAGTCCTGACATGCCTGGGAACCAGGCTACTTTCTTAAAAGTCATCTTCAAGCCAACTTTGGAAGGGACAAACATTTTCTGGCTGGCAAGTCATTCTGACAAATACCAAAAAACTTCCCTCCCAACATCTGCTTGGAGACTGGTTAGGCCATACTGATATGATCAGTATGATTACATGGATGACATCCTCTGTGCACCAAAAAACCGATGCATTCAGAAAAAGTTGCCTTCGTGATCAAGTTTTTTTAGGAAGGTCAAGCAAATGGCTGAACGCACAAATCATGGTATGCCAAACAATAAAGTCTTCATTTTTGTTCTTTCACATCTTCATTGACTTTGCAAGCAAACTTGGTGCAGGCAAGTGGTAATTTGAGCAGTTTCATTATATCTTCCTTTAATCTCCAAGCAGATCATACGGTGGCAAGGCAGTATCCATTGACCAGAGGAGTGGCCATTAGCCACCAAAGTTACAGTGCAGTACAAGGCAGTATCCATTGGCCAGGGAGTATCCAGTAGCCACTGTAACTTTGGTGGCTACTGGACACTCCTCTGGACAATGGAAACTGCCTTGCCACTGGGTGATCTGCTTGGAGATTAAAAGAAGATATCATATGAAACGGCTCAAATTACCACTTGAGATTAATCTTCTTTTCCTTCTGACCTCTTTCATCATACAAGGACCCAAAGAAACAGTATGGGTATAGAATTTTCTCCTTACACAACCAGTAAGGTTCTCACCTGCTTACGTTTCGAGGTGAGAACCTTACTGGTTGTGTAAGAAGAAAATTCTATACCCTAAGTATCTTCCAACCTGATAAAATTATTTACGGGAAGAAACAGTATGGTAACTAAGTTTTGAAAATTGATGTGTGTTTGGATGTCACCCATATAATCATGTCAGTGTGGCCTTGGTTTAGCCTGGTTACCAAACCTATTATAGCTCCTGAGTCCTACATCCTATTTGCGGAGAGGATGTAGGACTCGAGAGCTATAGTAGGTTTGGTAACCAGGCTAGCCTTGGTTCAAACACAAACACAGTAAGACTCATCACAAGCGAGGTATCTTTCCTGCAATTTTATTTGTTCCAGCTATTTCTACTACTTAGAGAATAATCATGTGTTAAGCATTCATTAGTTTTAAATTTAAAGCCTTCTGTACCACGCCGAAGTCAGGTGACCCCGGAGTCGACCAATAAACCACTCACCTACGCTCCAGTCTTAGCCAATCACAGAAGCCCAAGAAAGAGACGACAGAAGCAAGGTACTATGGGAAAGGAAGAAAAAAAAATAACGCCCTACGCGGCTTTTCAAGAAACAATTTCTATACTCCCTTTTGAACTTACTTACCACCAAGGCTGGCGACTCTACGATCAAACAAAGTTTGAGGGGATAAAATGTAAATAGGAGAGAGGTGCTTACAATTATTACACACACTACCACCTATACCCATATATGCTTCTACTGAAATCGGCCTGGTCACTAATATTGTTAATAACTTGTGCACAATTAAGCGAATCCTGTCTAATTTCCATGTGTACGTTCAGGGATATAAGCATGGGGGTTACACATAAGCGCTTGCCGGTGAATGCGTCAAAAATAACTAAAAATCTTAATTTTAAAAAGTTGAAGACCTTGCTTTCAGTTTTTTGTTTTTCAATTGATTGTAGTCCAAGACAACGAGCCCCCTCCTCAGAGAGTGTCGTTGCCTTTTAGAAGTCCAAGTTCGTCGTAGATCTAGTAGCGTCTTTTTTTTCTTTCATCCATTCAAAGATAGAAGTCCAAATTCCTTTTTAAGGGTAGTCAATGAGACATGGTCTTAGTCCGCCAAGTCCGTTTGGGGGCGGGGTCCTTTCCAAGCCAGTCTATTGGTGGTTGCCCCGGTGCTTCCTCTCCTGTAAACATAAACAACGAGGGTAGTAAATACAAACAAAGCAGGTCATAACATACATGCACTATGCAATAGTATACTCTGTACACATGCACTATGCAATACACTGTAAACATATGCTGTATTCTGCTGTATTAACAAAAACAGTTTAATAATTCAAAATTCTATGACAAGTCGACGTCAGAGCTTTTCAACATTTCTTAGATTTTTTCTCCAAACCTACAGGGACCAGTGCTTATTCAAAAGATTGATTCAAAGATTTTGTAAACACAAGTCGTTTATTATTCATGACATTGTTTTGAAGATTACTATCGTGAAATATACGCACTACTCATTACATGAAAACATATGCTGTCTTCAACTGCATTGCAACAAAAACAGTTTAACAACCTGTACATTTTGCACACATATTTTATATCAATAAATTGGAGAAAGAAGTACATTTGTTTGGTACACAAACTGAACAGTGTCTCTTACATTTTTCACTCCTGCAACAGAAATGAAAACATAATGGAAAACGATTTTACAAGCAGGGCTCTCCCCAAACAATGAAACAAGGGTGCTCCCCCTCTCCCCAAAATCATAGCACCTTTCCCAAAATGTTCACATTTAGGGTTGCGGGTTTTCTCTCAGTATTTTCATGGAAAGTTGCTGATTTTTTTTCCCGCAACATCAACCGATTAGGGAGCACCTCTCCCCTAAAAATTTCTGGGGAGACTCCTGATAAGGTTTTGATCACTCACTCATGCAAAAAGCAACAACAAACTGCGTACAAAATGAGTCAGGGCCACATATCTGCTTAGCAAGTCATTTTGATGGTGATAAAATATTCAGCCTTTGCTAATCCCCTGTGGATTAAAGGATTAAGATCCATCATATCCAGCTGGACTGTCTGACAGGGTGACATTGAGAATATTAATGTACTTTTCAGGCCAAGGTTTAACATGCAAGGGTGGCAAGATATT